ATATGAATATGTATGTATTTCTGTTGAGAAAATGATTAAAGTAAAGTAATACACTTTACTCTCATAGTGCCTCTCTTCACCCAGGTGTATAAATGGGTACCAGTGAGTTTAATGCTGGGGTAACCCTCCAACTGACCAGCATTCCATCCAGGAAGGTAGAAATACTCTTAGTCGCTTCATGCAGGATAAACTCTGGCATGATATCATACCACTAGGCTAGAATGCAGACTTTATCTTTTTTTACCCTGATATATACAAAAAAACTTAGATTACAACTGTTCAAGAAACTGCTTGAGCTCAGCGTTAACTTCTCCAGTGGCAACACTTTGCTTGACTAGTTGCATCACATTGCCTGTGCATACTGTGCAACCTTCATCATTTGCATTTAACTTGGGAAAACCACAGTAACAAAATTTGTTATCATTGTCTTTGACCCTCTTAGGTATGTAGGAGTCACAACCTTTCTTTTTCTCTTGCCAGTAGGAAACACTGTAAGGGTTCATCTCTCTAAGCCATAGGAGACAGACAAACTCATGACGGAACACAATCCACCACCTCATACTTTTCTTCACATTGCAAGTGTTCTCCACATACTTGGTTAGCTTGACATGTTTAGCCTCTCAACCCTACATGGAGTTTAGGCCAAGCACAAACCCAAGCTTCTCCAGCAGCTGGTTGGTGTGATATGTGATAGCATAGCCAAGGGTCCACACAGTGGGATTCACTCCAGCAGATGATTTGCTGTGAAATAGTTTTGGCACAAGTTCTTCGAATCCTCAACTTGCTGCTTGCTTACTTCCACTCTGGAGGAAATGGCAGCAGCATCCCTGATTTGCACACCAGTAAATGTCAGTATGTGTAGTTTTACAGTAGACCCACTTGACAGTTTGTCTATCTGCAACAGTTCCTGAATAAGGTAAGCAAAGTTCCATGAAAACTTCTTTGATTCTAGTCCAGTGAATCTATAATAGAAAGAAATTCCCTTCTTTCTCTTCTCACTGAACCACCTATTAAAGCTGTTGCAAAGCCTTCCACACTTTATGGTTTCTCACACACACTTCAAAAATGCTACCAGTGGTGACGAGTTTGGAAGGTCTGATACCACTGTTGCTATCCGTAGTTTAGCTTGGTCAGTGTACTGCATGGCCACTGTCAGGAGAACTGAAAACCACTGCTGCCAGGCATTGTTGGTGTTGTGTAGTGGCTCAGCCTTAGCTAAATCCGCATATTTGCCCAAGGGGGGAACAAATTCTTGCCTAGATTTCTCCTTGGCAATTAACTTGGTGACCTCTGCTCTTTGTTTCCCTTCAGGATCTTTAAGTTTGGCTTTAAACTTTTCAACCTTCTCTACAAGTAGAATCCACTTGTTGTAATCCCACGATTGCCAAGTTGCTTCCGGTCCAGCAATTGAGCCACCGATAGTGGTTTTGTCAGTTTGGTTCGCATTGGCAAAAGGGGAAAAGTAAACTGCACAGTTATTTAGTTCCCCAGATATGGATGACACCCATTTCATGTCAGCTGGGATAAATTGGAATCTAAATTCCACCACATAGCCTTGGTCAGTGGTGCGTTTAGCCTCCTCTATAAGCTTCATTTCTTTGACCAAATGCTTGGTATACTGTTTCATTAATGGAGTGTCTTCAGCACAATTAGTACCCATCAGAAGGTGGTTGTCATTGCAGCTCTGCACCCTGTTCAGGAGGTTTAAAATGCTGAAAAGGTATGCTATAAATGCAAATTAAACCTCAAACAAAAATAAAAGGAGGCAATTATTAAAAAGTGCTCAACACTAGCTAGCATATGTTCTAAATAAAGTAACTAAATAATAATATTAAAGTAATAATAATAATAATATTTATTATTAATTTAAAGAGCTAATGTCATGATAAGCTATTATTTTACATTAATTACAAACAAAGTCAGTTCAAGCAGGGGACTCGGATAGTACTCGTGGTGATTTAATGTTGTCATCATGTTCTACTGTTGCATTACATGTATTATTAGTCTCATATCATCTGGAAGTAACAATAATAATACCTGTTGCTGTATTATCCTTCCCAAAGGGAGCACCGTCGGCACCAATGGCTACATGCAGAACTCCTTTTTCTCTATTGAACCAATGCAGGCAGGGGTTTTTGTTGTCTAGAAACAAGTACATATCTGCAAGCCTCAGCAGAAAAGGTTTCAAGGGCCTGTATACACCAGATGTTGATTCCAGGGAATGTTTCCTGGCCAGATCTTCCAAGGATAGTGCTTCACCAATTTCTATGCCTCTGACAAAGCTCCCGAGTGTTTTGTTAGGCAAAATTTTTGGAACTTCACATGCTTTCATAAATTCTGTTCTCTGGTTTTTCTTTTTCTTTCCAGTCTCTTTCACGACATCTGAACTGTTTGTAATGCTTGTGTACTTTCTCTTGTTCATGAGGCCTCCTTCATATAGTACACGCAAGCTTCTCACTTGATTTTCCTTGCTTTGTTCATAATCTTTTATTTTACCTTTGATAATACCTGGAATTATCTCTTGCATGCAAATATTTGAATTCCTGATGTAAGTGGTCATCTCAGGTTTTGATGCAGTGCATATTAATGTCGTCCACAAACCATCAAGCACTGGTTTGTTGTCTCGGGACAATTTTCTCTTGGCTTCAGCACAAGTATGGATCGGTCCAAGTGCAGCCATGGTCTTCTTTCTATGTCTGAAAAACTGCCTCCTGGAAAGATTAAGTTTTTCGCTGTTGGTTGGATGGATTTCACTTGAGATAGTGGGCCCTCTGTCATCTTTTACCTTTTTGGCTTGATCACCACTATCATT